TTTTTAGTTCTCACGGGGATTCCCCGGGAGTTCCCATTGGTTGGCTAAGTGCAGGAGGAGGGATTTCCCGGGGAGATATTTCCAGCGGGGAGTTCCTGCAGGAGCCTCGTGGCTTTCGGGAGGATTCCCCAGGAGCGTGTGTGAGGTTTTTTTCTTGCAGTAAAAAAATAAAGTCTGTTCTTGCTTCAGTGGCTCGTGATTTGTGCCCAGCCAGACTGCGGCAATTATGAATTGAATTGCATTCTGCTGTCATATGTAACTAATTAGAATAAATAAAATAAAAAAAAATTAAAAAAGAGTCAACCTACCGTGGTGATATAGCGAGAGTGGAATTCTGGAGCATCTTTCAGGAACGTAAGGCCAGGGTGTGTATCCACCACATCCTGAAAAAGATCCAAAACTAAATTAATAAATCTATATTGAAAAAAACCCTATGGAATTTTTTACTTCCTGTAGAATAAGTTACAAGTTAAGCAAATTTGCCATTTATAATACTGAATAATGCACTTAAAATTTAATTAATACCTGAAGTCTAAATTTTATTGTAAGCATACTTAACACTGTATACACACTTAAGTACACTATGTATACTTACATTAAGTATACATAGTATAGTGTACTTAAATGTAAGTTAATTTTTTTAAGAGAGAGTGAGAGAGGGAGAGAGAGAGAGAGAGAATTTTAATATTTATTTCTTTTAGTTATCGGCGGATACAACATTTTTGTTTTGTATGTGGTGCCGAGGATCGAACCCAGGCTGCACGCATGCCAGGCGAGCGCGCTACCGCTTGAGCCACATCCCCAGCCCCAAGTTAAAATTTTAATTTAACTATATTTGGTGATTTGTGAATCAAATGTATTAGAGGTATATACCATATTCTAACACATCAAAAAATGTCAAGGATAGTTGGGCGCAGTGGTACACACTTGTAATCCCAGCAGCTCGAGAGACTGAGATAGGAGTTCCAAGCCAGTCTCAGCAATGGTGAGGTGCTAAGCAACTCTGTGAGTTGTTTCTCTAAATAAAATACAAAATAGGGCTGGGGATGTGGCTCAGAGGTTGAGTCCCCCTGAATTCAATTCACAGTACCAAAAAAGAAAAGAAAGGAAATGTCAAGGAAATTCATCTGACAGATTTTGATAGGGGTTGTTAAGTAATATTTACACAAAAAGGATGACAGAAGCCAATGAGAATGGTTATCTTTCTTTATCTAGAGGCATGAGAAAGTTTTGAAAACAAACAAATAAACAAAAAAACCCATGCAGTTAAAATCTATGTTAATGGGGCTGGGGATGTGGCTCAAGCGGTAGCCCGCTCGCCTGGCATGCGTGCGCCCCGGGTTCGATCCTCAGCACCACATACAAACAAAGATGTTGTGTCCACTGAGAACTAAAAAAAAAAATAAATATTAAAATTCTCTCTCTCTCTCTCTCTCTCTTTAAAAAAATAAAATAAAATCTATGTTAAATATGTTAACCAGCTAATGTCCATCAATTTTTATTAAAAGGGAAATGTGGACAAATCTGTTCGTAATTTAGAATTTTGTTTATTTTAAAATTTGTTATCTTGTTATCACTAACAATTATTATAATAATTAATACACAGAATACTGTTTCTATTTTCTAATTAGAAATTGAAAATACTTTATCCTAGAGAATCTATTAGAGATAATTATTGTTAAAAACCAGAGGCAACTATAAGGGCAACATAGATATAATCTATTTATTGGCTAGTCATCAATGGACAAACATTAGCTGTATCTCTTTGTTTCTTCAGAGCAGTTAGCTATATATATCTACCAATATAGTCTAGAACCAGGGAATCTTATAATTTCTTTTTTGTTTGTTTTTAAATCTAGAAACAATTTTGGACTCACAAGTAAGTTGCAAAAAATATTATGGAGAAATTTCCTAGGCCCTTCTTCTAACTTCCTATAACAACTCACAAACCATAGTTTAATGACTGAAACCAGGAAATGAATGATGATACAATAATAAACTATAAACCTTATTCAAATTTCACTATTTTTTTCTGTTCCAGTATTCTACAGTGCATTCATTTTTTTTCTATACTGAGAACTGAACCCAGGGTGTTCTACCAAAGGCTTCATCCGCAAACCCTTTTTATTGTGACAGGGTCTTGCTAAATTGCTGAGGCTRGCCTTAAACTTGTGATACTCTTGCCTCAGCCTTTGGAGTAGCTGGGATTACAGATGGTACTAAATGCACCACTGTGCCTAGCTGCATTTAGTTTTTATGTCTCATTGGTCTCTTCCAATCTGTGACAGGTCCTTTCCTTGTCTCTCATGATTTTGAATACATATATCCTCTATTTATCTTTTTGTCTGGTTTATTTCACTTAACATGCTGTCTTCTGGTTCCATCCAATCTTGCCTTACCTGCAAATGGCAAGATTTCATTCTTTGTGGCTGAATAAGCCTCTGCTGTGCCATGTTTTCTTTATTCATCCATCTCTCTTTTTTTAAATTCCTTTATTTATTTCATGTGGTGCTGAGGATCAAACCCAGTACTTCACATTTACTAGGCAAGCACTCTACCACTGAGCTACAACCCCAGCCTTTATTAATCCATCTCTTGATGGGTATCTAGGCTGTTTCCATGTCTTGGCTATTGTGAACAATGCCAAAGTGAATACGGGTATGCAAGTGTTTCTTCTGTATGCTGACATCAGTTCCTTTGGATGTATACTCAGTGAGGTACAGCTACACCATATAGAAGTTCTATTTATAGTTTTTAAAGGAATCTCCATACTGTTTTCCATAGTGGGTATACTAAGGATTCCCACCAACAGTGTAAAAGGATTATTTTTTTTCCTCCACACCCCTGCCAGCATTTGTTGTCGTTGTTGTTTTAAATATATATATTTTTAGTTGTAGATGGACATCTTTATTTATTTTTATGTGGTGCTTAGGATTGAACCCAGTGCCTCACACATGCAAGGTACATGCTCTACCACTGAGCAACAACCCCAGCCCCTGTTGTTGTTTTTATAACAGTCATTCTGACTGGGAAGAGATGGAATTGCTTTTCATATTTATTGACCATTTACACTTCCTTTTTCTTGAAGTATGTGTGTGGGTGTATATATGTATATACATATATATTTTTTAGAAAATTGCTCAGCTCCTTTTCCCATTTATTGACTGGATTTACTTTTCTGTGAGTTTTTTTTTTTTTTAGTATCTCTATTTTTGTTTGTTTATGTGGTGCTGAGGATTGAACCCAGTGCCCTTATGTTTGAGGCAAGTGCTCTGCCACTGAGCCACAACTTCAGCCCTTTAAGTTTTTAAAATGTATTCTAGATATTAATTATTTGGCAGGTGAGGAGCCGGCAAAGATTTTCTTTCATTCTTTAGGTTGTCTTTTCACTCTTCTGGTTGTTTTCTTTGCTGGTGCAGAAGTTTTTTAATTTCAGGTATTCTCATTTGTCAAGTCTTGTTTTATTTCCTGGGCATGGCAGCTCCTGAGAATGAAGGAATTTCCTTGCTAAGATAACCACTGGAGTCACCCAGGAAATGACTGCCTGTCCTAATATCTTGCGGGACTCTATGTTTTCTTTTAGTAGTTTCAAATTTTCAGGTCTTATATTAAGGTCTTTGATTTATTTGGTTGATTTTTTTGTACAGAGTAAGAGACAGGGGTCTAATTTCAGTCCTTTACATTGAATATCCAGTTTTTCCAGCACAATTTGTTGAACTTTTGGCACCATTGTCTGGAATCAGATGGCTAAAGCTGTATGGATTTATATCTGGGTCCTCTATTCTGTTCCACTGCTCTGTAAGTATTGTTTTTGTTATTAAGATTCCGTAACATGTTCTAAAATCAGATCTTATAATGCTTCCAGCACTACTATTTTTGCTCAGGATTGTTTTGGTTATTTGTGTTTCCACAGAAATTTTAGGATTATTTTTTTCTGTCTCTGTGAAGAATTTCATTGGCATTTTGATGGTGACAGCACTGAATCTGTAGACTACTTTTAGCAGTATGGCCATTTTAACAATGTTAATTTTCCCAGTCCAAGAACATGAGAGGTCTTTTCACTTTCTAGAGTCTTCTTCTATTTCTTTCTTCAGTGTTTCACTGTAGAGGTCTTTTACATTCTTACCTAGGTTATTCCTAGGGATTTCTTTATGTGTGTGTACATGGGGGTGGTGGGCTACTGTGAATGGGATTGCTTTCCTGATGTTGTTTCCAGTGAGTTAATTATTAGGATATAGAAACGCTGTTGATTTTAGTAGTTGATTTTGTACTCTGCTACTTTATTGGACTTGTTTATCAGTTCTGAGAGTCTTTTGATGGCATATTTAGGATATTATTGTCAGGTCGGTTGCGCGATGACTTAGGAACAAAGCACCAAGCAGCCTGCGTGCGTGAAAGAAACATCAATCAGGCACCAATGGAAATGCTTGTCAATCAACAGGGTCTCCTGGTCAATCCTGGATCTCAGCCAGTTCCTCTGACCAATTCCAGTGGGACAAAGGACTCTAAAAACCCCTTTTCCTGTCCAGAGCACTTCCCTTCCTGCTGTAAGCCCCATGAAATTCCAGTCCGGTTGAGTCCCCACTGGTTACTACTCAGACCCTCTTCCTATCTGCTCTGTGGTTCTGATAGAGTTCTGCCTGGGAGTGGAATCTCAATAAAGCCTTTAAAATTCTGCCTCCTTTTGGTTGCCGCCATTGCCTGACCTTACATTTATGCGTATATAGAACCACATCATCTGCAAAAGTGATAATTTAAAGACTTCCTCTTTTTCTACTTATATGACTTTTTATTTCTTTCTCTTGCCTGATTGCTCTTCCTAGAATTTCTAGTATTGAATAAGAGTGCTGAGAGTAGACACCCATGTCTTATTCCTTAATCTTAGAGAAAATATTTTCAGATGTTCCCCATGCAATATGATGTTGGGTATGTGTGGAGAGTGGTGACAGTGACTGGGAGACCAGTGTCTGAGACTGGGGTCCCTGATGACTTCACGGCTGTGGCATATTTGGTGACTGGGAAAATTTCTGTGCAAAGGCATAGGATGCCTGGTTGCTATGGAGATGTCCTCCATGCTAGAGTCTTATTGGCTTCGACCTTATTCTCAGGCATGGCAGCTCCTGGGAATGAAGGAACTTCCTTGCTAAGATAACCACAATGTTTCATCAGTTCTGCTGCCCCTGAATCTGCCCACAAATTAGTAACTTTAAACAATGGACTTTCTTGAGAGTTGCAAAATGCTCCTAACATTGCACATTGCAAATGTAGAATGTAACTGAGGAAATAGTTGCATGCTATCGCTAACTCTGTAACTTTCATGAATATAAAGAATAATGCTTGCAGTCTTTAATCTGATTTAGACACATATATAATAAAGATTGCT